TGTACGGTGATCGCGACAATTGTAACTTACTTTTCGAATTCCTTGCGCGAATGTTATGGGAGTTTTTTTTTCTTTTAAAATGTGTGAAGTTCAAATTAATAGACAAAAGTAATGATTTAGTTATTAAAACAAGACAAAGCGCACAAAGGCTATTTGCCCACGCTTTTATCCCACTTTTGAACAAAAACCTTTGGGCCACAAGTAACGATTGTGTAAACGTACAGATAAAGTACAGGATAATCCCAGATAACATTTACATGAACCTATTGGTTGGAAATATTCTTAACAGTAATGTTTTATATATACTAAATGATTAAAAAATAAATACAAAAAATGGTTAATTTAAATCAGCAAATAAGCGTTAGATAAACCATGATACAACTACTCTGCATTTTGAAATGAGATGAATGAAACTAAGTTGCGTCCAAAGGTGAATTAACCATTGTCGTCTGAGGGTTTAATAACTGAGAAATATGAGCGTAAATTTTAATGTTTTACGTTATTATTTAGTAACAAGAAACTTCTCTTAGTCGAAATTAGTTAAAATTCTGTATAAGCAAAATTATGAAGACGGGTCTGAAGGTTTACTTTAAAACGTCCTACTAAGAAGTCTTAAGACTGAGTTCGACGGACTAAAATAGGGCAAAGCATTTACTGTAGAAAGATGATCAAGGTGCAGCTTTTAAATGTTATTATATGTTAATGACTTTCAGTTCCATGAAATTCTTTTGTAATTTATCAAACGCCCATATTTAAAAAAACTATACTGAAAGACAGCTGAACAATGAAGCAGCACTATTGTCGAAAAAGGCGTTAAGCGTTTCGAAAATTTATGCGAATAGTGGGTAGAAAAAGGGTTGCTTACATGAAAATATGTCAATATTATGATAACAAAGTACAAAAAAGCAACGAGTATGATTTTTCTGGTAATTATATGCAAGTGGTAAAAATTATACGCTGATATTTTTCCGGTATTCTGGAAAACCTTCACAAATAAAAAATAGTTGATTCTTGGGCACTTTCTACTCTTGTGCAAAGAGTATTTGATTTTGGTGGACTTTCCTTTCAAGACATGCTACACTTTGATAACTCTTTGCATACGCTTACAAAAATTAACATTTAAATAATAATTATTAAATAGCAACTCACATCTCTAATAATGAGAACTTTACTGATTAGTTTACTTATAACTCGATGCAAGTATGAACGTTTGCTTTGCATATAGAATTTTATTTGTCGTATCTGTGAACACTTAAATATTTGTAATATAAAGTGTAGAAAATTCCAGCTTCTAACCTGTTAATTCCAACTTCTAACTTAAATATTTGTGATATAAAGTCTGAAATATATTATTATATGAAGTTCAGTTAAGTGACAGAAATAGGATTTGGATCATTAATCTGAAGGCCTGCAAATTTCGAAACGAAAAGCTAAAGCTATGTCAAACTCGTAGCAATTTGAGCAGATTAAAAGCTGAAATTTTCTACAGCTATCCGCTCATAACAAAATGAGAATGTTTGAGTCTCAGCATTGTATTATAATCGAATAGATCTGTATATTGATTTAAGCACCTCGTAGAACATTTTATACACTGCCTGACATACAGAATGACCTATCATGAAAGAAGATTGAAAATTGATCAAAACTTTATACACATAAATTAGCACTTGACATAATTAAGCAATTAACAAATGAAAAAAGTTTCAAAGCTGTATAATCATAATATACTTAGATGTAGATCATAATATACTTAGATATACTTAGATGTTCACTAAGATTTTGCAACCCTACCTCGAGTAATACATTCTCGAACACGCCGTTGTATCGAACCCACAAAGAATCTGAATCAGGTCCTGTTATATATTGAGCTGACCATGAGTTATTGATGCGATTCCAGAGTTTACGATTTTTTTGTAGATAAAGGGAGGTATTCAACGGACGTCCAATCATATCGCACAAATGGTCAACTGGCAAAAGATCAGGGGATCAGGCTGGCAAAGGAAGCCATTTGCAATGAATTCAGAATGAGCCGAACAGGCAGGACGTTATCTTGTCGAAAAATGACGTTTGAGATGCCATGAAGATCTGATAGAAAGATACGATATGATATGATATGATAGATATGAAAGTAGACGGGGATGAAGCATGTCAACAGCTTCATCTGTGAAGCTGTCGTTTTAATATGCCTTTAATGCCCAGAAGAGTTAAAAGCACTAATGCACCCCAAACTATTATTAAACGATGAGAAGTGGTGTGTCGCTGGAAAATGGCAGAGACATACGCCCAAGGCATGCATAGTCACGACATCCTGATATACCGATCATTATTGAGCTAGAAGCGAGATTCATTACTGCCTGCTATTTTGCCCCATTAGCTGCTCTACGATACCACTGCAAGTGCTCACTATGATGGCTAGTTGTTAATGGAAGCCTTTGTGAAGGATGCCCATACCAAACTTGAATCGACCAATAACCATAAAACTGTCCACATCGATAAGAAGCAGCGGACAAAATTCTATACGTTTCGTAAAATATCTGCAGTTATGGACTGGATTCATGCAAGGTGTGCCATCGCATGCAACGTTTAGTGCACTCTGATATTCTGTTTGCAATGTATCCCTACAGCGCTGCACATTTCCTTCTTGGGTGCACTGTATACAAATCTTAAAAAAAAATTGGTCACACCTGCTATTCTTCAGTGATGTGGTTAGAGGAACAACCATTCTCAGGTCTAACACGAAGTATCCTCCGTCCCATGACTCGTCGGTTTTCTGATACTGAACCATGTTAATGTCTTAAAGGCATTACCTTATCTCCATTTTACAAAACCTCACGTATTGTGGTTGCAACAACCCAGTGTGGGGCTACCTCCCCCCCCATACACATACACAGCGTCTCACGTTGTTTGCAAGTTTATATCCCGCGTGCTAATCGTCTGAATATTTTGCAAAGACGATTCATCTGCATAAATTTTAAGAGAGATATCTCGCAGGAATTTGCATGGCAATACATTTGCATCTTCATTGTAAGGTATTTTCATTGTCATGTCATCCAGATTTTCATTATAAGGCTATTGTCAGGCTTTAATTTTTATAAGTAGATTTTTGTGGTTTCAATTTTTGTTTTTAGCATTTCAACGTAGTCTAGTAAATTTTTATTAAACCAGTAATACAGCTAAAAAAATAAAATTAAAAGAATTATGTAATATTTTAAATTTAAAATAGTAATTCAGTAAAATAATAATAACAATCTATATTATGTACTAGACTTTCCAGCAAGTATAGTACATCATTTGAATGAATATGCTTTTTTGTTCTACTTTCAATATTTATTTCATCAGTTTCCAACATCTTCCACTTACCAAAAATATCACCACCATAAAGTTATGAAGTCAAATGCTAATTATTGCATCGTCAGTAGCATCTTTACGACAATTGCAAAAATGCATGATTTTGCCCGTTCTTTTCAAACACACAGTGGTGTTAAAAAGACATGTTTTAATGGCAAAATTTTAGGAACATTTGCACTTTGACTCTGCCCTGTTATCTAAAAGACAATGAAATGCAATTTTATCAACTAGATTCTTTATCGTTTAGGACAGAAACGGATGATGTTAATATATCTAATGGAGAACGTAATGTACGCTGTTGATTTGCTTCTAACAAAATATTAAATTCATAATTAATGATTTGAATGACATTTAACAATCCTCCAATTTAAAAGATTATCTCAGGTACGTATTTACTCAACTTTTATTTTTAAATTTACGTATATATTTAGCTTTTGCATAGAAAGAATATTTTAAATAATGGCTACAGAATTCATGTTCTCAAAAATTGATTCTAAATACATTCTTTCCAACTAGAAAACTTCCAAATTGTCAATAACATTGTGTTAAGTTGACAGCTTTATGAAAACAGTTCTAACAGTATTAGGTGAAAAAGGTTGTAGAAATAAAACTTTATTTGGTTCCCTTACGTCAAATAGACTTATGAGAAAAATTTATGTTCTCATAAGTCTTCTCCATTCAGCAGAAAGATAATGATTTCCATGCTTTGAAATGCAAAATTTGAAAAGGTACTTGTATTTTTAGCCAATATTTTCAATGAACTCCTACTTTAAACAAGATAGCCAAAACAACTGTTGTTTAGAGTTGCAGTTTTAATTCTTTCGCAAAAATCTTACATTTGATCCATAGTAGATAGAAAAAAGTTATTTATCCTGAACATCTTCAAGTCAAATAATTTTTGCAACTAAAGATATCGAAGATTTTTTTAGCACGTATATGATGTTAATTATGCAGTTATTATGGTTTTTATCTTTAGTATAACTTCTTCTTTCCGTTTTCCTCACCAGAATGCAAATTAACTTTAGCTTATACAAGCTGAAAGGTTTGAGTCTCAAATTTGAAAGATATTTTGGCAATCGCGTCTAGCTTTTACTATTCTTGCAGTTCTGCTTCAAATTAATATTCCTGCTTTAGCATTCTCGATAGTCGGTGAGTAAAATAACTAGCATATTTTATTGCATGTATAGTCTTAGACTATGTTATCAACATGTGTATTTAATTCTCTGTTACTGTTAAGTTAAACAGCCACAAGTGATGGTTTCGTTCATAGCACAGGTTGTGCCTGCAAGTTCAATTTAAGACTAAATTCAAAAAGTATTTTAAACCTTCATCAGTACTTTGTGAATATTTAAGATGTAGCGATAATTTGCTTTCCATCTAGTAGGGTATGCAGGACTTTAATTTCCAGTTACAATAGCAACCCTACAAACTCATTATTGTATTATAAAATTTTCCTTTCTCAAGACTTCAAGCAGTATTAATCTATCGTATTTTTAGCAATTTTGTAATTAACAGTACGTCTTTAAAATTTATGTTTAAGAGGGAAAAGCTTGCAGCCACGATTTCAAATATTTTATATTTTTCAGTCAGGATAATGTTAGCTCTAATATTAAAAAAAAAAAAAAAAAAAAAAAAAAAAAAAAAAAACTTACACTATGTTCATTGTTGAGCCTTTGTAATTAGGTATTTTGTGGACAAGTGCGGCTTCCGTATAAGGTAAATCCAATGAGTATGTGCCCCAGTGGGGATCCTTGTCAAATTTCGCCACTTTTCCGTACATTTCGTCCACTATGGCATAGCACACCTGAGGAGAAATGTATAGTAGTTTAGGTTAAATTAATAAAGAAGTAATTTAATTAATAAAAATTCTGAACAAGTTCTTAATTCTGCAGAACTCTGAACAGAAATTTAGCAACATTTCTTCAAGTCGATATAGAACACTTATGTGTTATGTTTCTTTGATAAACCTGAAATTAAAAATAAACTGAAACAGCAAAATATTGATGATCACATCATCTCTATTTAAAATAGCTCAAAATTTCATTCCTGATTTACTAATCGATGCAAGTAAGAGTATGGATTGATAAAAACTCCGATTTAGACAGACAAATTACAAATTAGATTAATAAAACTGTGCTTGTATACATGATGCGTTTACATTATTAAATACTAATGGAAAGTTATACTAGAAATATTGCAGACTCACATATTCATATTATAGACTAATAGCAATTACAAATAAAAAATTTACGTACATATTGTGTTCAGTTCAAAATTTTAGTACGAATGCAACCATGTAAAGTATATCCTTAGTACAAAAATGAATAATTAGACATAAAGTTTAACTACGAGTAAATATTCAGAACAATACAAAATGTATTATTGATAATAGGAAGCATAATTAAAGCAGATAATTATTATACATTAAAAATACATTAATAAATTAATATATGTACAGAGTGAGCTGCTAACAGCACGGTGTATACTTTGACTATGGAATGTCTACTGCGGGCCTGCCATCTTGACATTGAATCTGTATATATTACTTTGCACTTTTCATTGCTCACTATAAAGTCCAGAGCTGCTTATAAGGCTATAAGTTTTCCCTAAAACTCTTGAGTTATTGGAATGCTTCGGACGAGGTCACCATCCATTGCGCGCCAGGCACTGCTGGTCTCGAACTTTCCTTTGGAAACAGTATAGACAGCTGTCGATTGTAATGTCGAGTGGAGGATTACAGCTTGCTTCTATATCAAAGTCAGCAGACTAACAAGGAGGGTGGGCCGCATGATTCTTGTAGTTCGAGGATATATATGTCTTCTTCCAAATAGTAAAGTCTTGTTTCAGTCTAATTGTTCTCACCATGGCATTCTCACTCTGTACTACCAACAGCAGGGGCAGGAGTCCTGCCAGTACATTTAATGATGTTGTTGGAGAGGTTTGGAATCCTCTGCAGATGCCAAGAAGAAATGGTCTTTGTGCCGAATTCAGTGCTTGTTGCATGTTACTCGTAACATTGATGCCTCATATAGAGACGCCATGAAGTGATATGCTCTCAGCAATGAGGATATACCCTGCCTTGAGCATCTTCGAAGAGACGTCCCAGCTACGAGCTGCTGTTTCATGCATTGTGTTAGACAGTTTATGCAGGATATTTTTGAGATCCTTGATATGAGGGAGAGAATCTGTCGTTTTTAATCACACCCAGGTATTGGAAATGTCTCACAAATTGTATATTTCTGCCATGAAGGTTTACACACGGGGTATGCTCTTGCCGTTTACCTGGACTAATCAGCATTCCGTGTCTGCTAGGTCCCCAAGTTCCACAGAAGTGGACCTAGGCATGAGCCCTACGGACAGCTTCGTCACATTTTGCATGCGGACGCCTTCGACCATTGTAGCTTGAATTCGTCTTTCACTCAGGTAGTTGTAGATTAAAATTGTATAAAGTTTTAGGGCAGTATCTTGAGATATTTCAAAACATCATGCCACTACAACGAATCAAAGACATCATTAATGTTTATGTTGATGACAACAGTATACAGTTTATTCTGTTTGTTTCTAAGTACCGTGTTTCGATGGTGATACAGTGCGTGATACACTGACTTCCCTGATACAAAGCCATATTTCCTAGTACTTATGAGTTAATTAGTATGATGTAAAAATTCGGTTTTTTAAGTATTACTCTTTTGAGGATTTTCCCCGTGGCTGGAGGCAGGCAGAGACGACCTCGTTTAGATGTTTATTTCTCTTTAGGAAGAGGGTAACTTCTGCAATTTTTGAACCCTCTGGAAAGTGGCGAATTCTTCAGCATGCCTGTATGTAGGAGAAACATAATACCGGATGTGTGTTATGCATAACTCTGAAAATGCCGTTATCAAGTCCATCCCGCTCTGGGGTTTTCCCGGATTGAGTGGTGATATGAGATGTTTAGGGATGAGTGTCGGCCCTTTTGGGGATACATGATCATTCTTTTGTGGTGGAGGTCCTTTGGTGTACGACCAGTTCCATTGTCGCTATTAAGCGAACTCTGCTCCCTTGCATGCATTCTGATCTAGACAGCCACAATCTATGAAAACAGTCCTCTGTAATAGTGATACTATGCTCTGCTTTCTCTTCATCATAAGGCATAATATTTCACTTGTAATAGTGATATGTGGAGTATTTCTAACATGTGTTCGGCACACATAACCAATAAGATTATGCACCTGGAAACCCCCTACTATCACCACATGGAGTATGGATGACTCTATGGTATGTAGATGAAATCCTAAGGCTGTCATTCTTGTCATTACCCGAGACTTAGTGTGCTACATTCCATCATGGTAATAACTGATCACATATGGCTCAGATGTTCCAGAACTGCTTACGTAATATCCAGATACGCTCATGACTTACCCGCTCTCTGGGCTTGCTTCTTATCAAATATGCAAGAGATCAGTTAAATTTGCCTTCTGCCTCCATGCCACAGTATCCGGAATTTGGAACACAGCGCCCAACAAATATTACCTTTGCTGCTGCAAGGCAAAATGTATTTGATTTCATGCCTGACTGAACTGCATCCAGCTTGATGCCATACTATACTCTGTTAGAGATAATCAAACTGCTCACCTCAGGTCCCATCGTAACTGTCCGGCTATTCTGTTTTTGCGATCATGAGTACCATTTAGCTCTACCATAAAAGTTTCAGTTCAGCCCGATGATTCCACCTCTGTTCGCTAATTTTTACACTCACATACAAGGTAAAAAATAAGGGCTTTTGAAATCGCATGCAACTGATTGCTATAAAAAGTATAAATATTATTAAGCTTTATTATACTTCATGCATAAAAACATACGAATATTATTGAGAAATATATCTTTCTTCAAAGGCTATGATTTTTAGCTGATAAGGAATTTGCTCTTATAAACTGGGTTATAAAGCTCATTTATGTTATGTGCAGTAGCAACATTTTCTCGTTTTTTCTAAACTCCAGTTTCCTCTCAAAATGAATATATCTTTCCATGTTTAAAAAAGACAAAGGGAGGGTGAGCAATGACAGAAAAAAATATTAAGAAAAAAATATTTCCTTCACAAAGTATTTTCTTCCTTCTTTTCCTATGCCTTCGTGGTGCAACTGGAAGCATACTCGATGTGTATTAGAGAGGTCCATGCTTCGAGTCCCGGGCAGGGCACGGCACATTTTTCTTGGTCTCTTGTTTCAAAACATAAATTCTTTTTGGAACGTATTTCCTGTGTACTCTTAGATTCAAGTTTTTATGTTAACAATACAGGTCTATATTTTAAAGATTGTTGAGATAACAGTCTTATTCAACACGTCTTTTAAAAAGGACTTAACGAAAAGAAATCTTTCATCTTTAAAAGCAAAAATTAGATCTTTTGAATCAATTAACAAAAGCAAGATGATTGTAAAAAGCTGAAGCTGCTAAAATATTGTCATTTTTATTACCTGCATATTCCTGTCGATGAACCAGTTTGTCTCAAAATCATCATCATCCTCACCAAAAGGATTAATGAGTTGTTCAGCCACCTATAAGTTGATTAGAAATGCATCAGAAAAATTACTTTTAGTTGATTTTAGAATGATTGAAATTTATTTGCTTACTTTTGAAAACAAATTTCTAATGTTTATTAATGCAACTAACAAAAATTACTACTCACTTTTAACCAGCCTAGGAAGAAGAAGAACTGTAGAAACGTGTAAACTGGGAAATATAGATCTATATCGTGACCTTTGTAACCCTGAGAAGGATCCAAAAACTGCCTTCCAATGAGACATGTCATAAAAAATAAGTGTGTCAGAAGAGTAACCACCTACCAACGACAAGAAGAAATTAATTAAATTTCAATTGTTGATTTAAAAGTTTTAAAATTAAAGAATTCTAATTTAAATAAATAAATATCCTTTGGTTTGGGTTTCGTAATTGAACGATGGTGTATCATCTTTTCACTGTGTTTCAAAAGCAATCCAATGTAGTTGACATACTAAACTAGTTTTTAGTGAGAAAAGTTTGATCTATGATACTTCGTTGCGCTTGAAAGAAGGCACAGAAAATACAGTTTGAAAAAGAGGACGTTCATAGTAATGAATGCATTTTTAATTGCCCGTATGTAGTATATTAAGCCATTTTTAATGATACAAATGTGTGCAGTTTTCTTTCATTTATAATTTCTAATGATATTCTTTGATCTAAATTTTAATATCTATGCGTCACATTATTCTTTGCTTTCTTAGGTGTATTATTACAGGCAGGAAGGCAATCGCGGATCAAGTGTCAATTGTAAAATGAGAAAAATCTTTCTTGACATGATATGAAAATTTCAACTGCATATTTAAATTTGAAATATTAATTTCAAGGTGCAACATTGTTTACATTTGAAGATTTTAGTAGAATAATGAATTCAGTTAGTGCACCAAATTCTGTGTCTTTTTGCCCTGTGATACATACCATAAGTTAGCTTTCAATTTTGCGCACCGAAAGTTTTGTCTTCTTACCCACTAGCTGAATTGCATGTTCTAGTGTAGAAATGCTAATTTTAATTGTAAAAATTGCTTTTTTAGCTGTATTTGGTGCTTTAAGTTTTTCTTTGTTTTACAATTTTTAATGGAGTTTTTATGTACTTTTGCCTTGCCGCGAAGTGGAATTGAAGTGAGAAGTAAGGACTGATTGAATAAAAATATATTTTTAAATGAAATTCGAGGGTATAAGTGCGAATGAAGTGCAGCAAAAGATGTTTATAATTTAATAGGCGGTACTAGGAATTCATGGAAGTCCACATCAGATATTTTTAATGCAATGAAACCATAAACTTTAAGAACGCTTGTAAAAGATTACTAAGAAGTACACTTAATTTTTAAATGATTCCTATTGTTAGTTAATGAGCAACGTACTTTTATAATATGGAAGTTAATGGAAATTGTAACACTTCATGAATTAGCAACTAATTCCTATTTTACTAGGACGCGAATTTTTGCCTTTGGCTTAGTGAAAAAGTAATAGCACTTCATTTCTAGAATTGATGAGAAATAATTTGTTTCATCTTGGTTTTAGATATTTGAAATGTATTTATAGCTCCCGCAAATCAAAATAGGAACCCTGCTAAAAATGCCCCATAGAAACCAGTAAAACTTTTTATGGGTACCCATAAGATTTTATGGGTTTTTATCGACTTTTACTGGTTTCTGTTGGTCTCTGTGGGTTTTTCTTACTGGTTTCAAAATGACCCATAGAAACCAGTAAAACTTTCTACTGGTACCTATAGAATTTTTGATGGTCTCTACTGACTTTTACTGGTTTCTATTGATCTCTGTGGGTTTTTCTTACTGGTATCACTTGACACCCATACAACCAACATCAATGGCAGAACTTTGTACTGGTTTTTATAGGTTTATATTGACTTTTACTGGTTTCTTACTGGTATCAATATAATAATAAATCTTTCTGTTAGCTTTATATGGGTTTATGCTATTTTTTTATTTATCTGACGTTAATAGACTTCTTGTAAACAATAAAATTAACAAATGAAAAATATGATCTCTTTAAGACCATCAGAGTAACCTGGAAACGCAGGTGGTCGTTTTAGAGAGGGTTTTTACTAAATATGCTTATTTATTTGATTTAAAAATTGTTTTTCGGAAACAATAACAGTAATCATATACACCACACACAACGAGGTCTCTCTAAGGCGACCAGCCGCAAATAAAATTTACCTTTGAAAGTGGTCGCCTTAGAGAGGTGATGCTAAATACCAATATATACTCACGTTCTCAGAGATACGGTTGTCTTTTAGAGGCGGTCGTCTTAGGGAGATTGTATATACGGAATGAATATCTCTAAGGCGACCAGCCACACTAGCAGAATTTTCTTTGTGAATGGTCGCCTTACAGAGGGAATATTCAATGCCAAAGTATACTTATGTTTTCAGAAATACTGGTCTCTTTCAGAGGCGGTCGTCTTAGGGAGGTGGTTTTTGCTACGAGTTGGTTCTCTGAATACACACACATAAGCACTTACATTTCTGATATTACAAATAAACACCACTATCAACCAACATCTCTTTAACGCAAACAAGTTCATTCACAATCGCAAAACCTTTCTCTCTGTTAACGCTGACGTGAAGAAAAAAAATTCCCCCTCCCTCCCATGCTCCCTCCCACTCTCAGAAGTTTCCCAAACAAGCAATATGGCGCCGCCCTAGTTATTGTTGTGCGATGGTGGTGTTATTTTCTTGTTCTTCGTGGATGTAGTAATGCAATATATTAATTTACTATGCTTTACTGTATTACAAATTTTACTACGTTTTACTGTTTAGAATTAATAATAATAATAAAATACCAGCACTGACTATGAATATACCACTAAGCCATGCACGTGTAATCGTGTCTAATGTTTGAGAGAACGTTGCTGATAACTGACTAATTGTGAAATGGAGTTTCTGAGCGTGAAATTGATTTTCCAATTTTACTTTTATCCTGAAAAACAATGTGCTTAAAGACTGAAAAATGATAATTTCAGACTTGATAATTTGGTTCAGTGATCAGATGCAGAAATATAGTTTTTGCATTCTACTGAAATTGTATTTTGGAAAATTAATTTTTTTGATTACAGTTTAGAATACTTTTTTAAAGCTTGTTCATGTAGATGCTTTATCATTTGAATATTATGTACTAATAAATTTGAGCATACCTTACATAAAAATGATCTTGCATGATTCAATTTTCAATTTTTCGACTAATGTGATGTGGCCGAGCAAAAAGAATACTTTTTTACGTTTTAAAAAATGTACTAATTATATTTCGCGAGCAAAAAAGTATTGAATGGGGTAGACAAGACATACAAGCTTAAGAAATCTTTTTTCCACTACTAAAATTATGTGAAAATTTAGATGATCATATTAGCTTACATTGTTTTTTCTTTTTGGTCTATTTTTCTTCACAAGTATGAGACTAGAACCACATTTTTACATTAAATATTTTGTGCTATTTTGTTAAAACAATAAAATCATTTTTATGCATACTTTAATTTTCATTATTATTTGTTTGATGAAGAAAATTTCAAATGTGTTTTTCATAAATTGCTTTTGAAATAGAAATAGATTTGTGAATAAGATTTATGTAATATTAAATGTACTAGTTTTGGGAGTATAAAAAGTGAATTATTTATTTGAAAAAATTACATTAAGTTGAAACCTCATATAGTGGTTATTTTCTTAAATGACCACCTCTGGTAATGGCACATTTGTCAGGACAATAATTAAATAACAGGACTTAAAAAATCACTCATAGTTTTGTCAGGCTACAGGAAACTGCCATTATCTTGAATTGTGGAGTTGATTGTTTTAGGAACGTTTTGCTGTATAATCAATTGACTTCGGTGTAGTAATTTTTACGTGGGTATGAATTTTGCAGAAGTAATTGAAAGTTTTTACGAGACCAAAGCTTTTCGGATCATGAGTCTTATAAGGGCACTGTTATAGCATTGCTTTCAAGTATAGTTAGAGTAATATTTAAACATTATTTTCGGAAGCACTTCCACAGAGAATCCGGTTGCTCTCTGCGGATGAAAACCCATATAAATAAGTCTTCTGTACAGCCTTATACAAATGCAGTTAAAATTACTGTCATTACAATTAAGGCGAATATAGCTACATTTGTTTACAAAAAGTTATTATTGCTAAATACTGCACTATATAAATTTCATTTTGGCATTGTAATTTCAGAAACTGCTCAGCATGAGGTATTTTTATATATATAATCTACTGTCAAAAACATTAGCTACCTTTTCAGTACTTTAAATTTTACTCTTTAGAATTTTTATGGTTCAAAATAATTTCTATACATTTTCTAAAGTATTCTTTCTTCAATAGAAATCTAAATAACTTTAACCTAAAACACTGACTAAATTTATTCCAATAATGCATCGCTTTAATTAAATTTATGTTCCTTTGAGATGATATTGAAAAACCTTGTGTAATAATAAATTATTAATATATAGGGTAAATGGTATTTTTATATATTTTTTTCGGTAAAGTGCATAATCGCCTACTTATTTATTTGGTACTTTTTACTAAAGTAAAAAGAATTGGATTTTTGTCAATTTTCCTTTGACTTTTTAAGTGAAAATAGGTCGATGTGTACCTGGATAAAGTCAGAGGAGTGCGCAATGACATTTTTGTGCAATTCTGGAATGTTTTTTTAGGTGAAAATACATCGATGTGTACATGGATACCGAGTATGTGCAATTCTCAAAAACACTCCAACCAGTGGGCGATTCTACACTTTCCCCATTTTTCTATAGGAATTTAGTTTCATTAAATTAGTTATTTAGTATAATTATGTGTATATGAGTATATTCATACTTATTCACATAGATGGAATTTTTACAGTACGAAAGTTGATCTTTTTTACATCAAGAACTACATATAGTATAAATACCCATTATATTATAGATTTTATTTATATAGAATCTGCGGAAGATTATATAGCACTAAAAGTGAGATACGGAATAAAACATTATACGCTATGAGATATTTCCTTAATTTCCGAACTGTGCGTTGAGAATTGGTATTTGTTGAGACTTGTAAATTTTTTAAAATTCGTTTTGTTACAATATAATTTTATTGTATTTTGGGTATTATTAAGTTTATTATATTTATCTCATGTTTCATTTATCTTTTATCTTTGAGAGATACAGGTAACATCAAAGTATTGTAATAAGGGGTCGACACAGTGTTTATATTTGCTATGGTTAATCTTTGGAATATGGTAACGTGCCGATTTTGGGCGAAAATTTGGCGAACCAACCCTGCTACACCAACCTTCTACTTCTTCTTTTTTCTTTTCTTTTTTTTTTTTTTTTTTTGCGGCCATTTTGTCTTTACGAAGTAAAAACAGGTTTCTTTTCTTTTTAACTTCCTGAACATATTTTCCAACAATCTGCTAGCCAAATTACGCTTATGCTAGAAATTTTATTGGATCAAAAGTGCTTAATCATGACGAATATTAACTGCGAAAATTGGGAGAACATGCAGAATCGCAAACTGCCTTGCCGCGTTTTTAAGAATTGCACATACATGGTATCATCCATGTACCGTCGACTATTTTTACTTAAAAAAAACATCCCAGAATTGCACAAAAATGGCATTGCGCACACTCTTGACTTTATCCATGTACACTGCTAAAGTCCTAGCTAGTAACCTTTATCGCCTTACAAAATGTCGCCAAACGACCTGTTACCATATTCCAAAGATTAGCCATTATTATTTCTTCACTACATATATTCTAGGATTCATCCTTTCTCCACGCAAAACATCTATGTGTATGCGTGTCATAATAAACTGTAGGGTGTTACTATCAGTGGTAAGCGAGCCTTAAGGGGATAGCAAGTATGCTAAATTTGAACTCTATGTTAAGTTTCTAATTTGCAAGTCCCGTATTCTTTTTGCTTGCTTGTTAATAAGGTTTTCTTTTCCTGAAAATTTGGGTTTCTTCTAATTTTTGTTTTTTAATTTGGTTTAGTGCATTGTAGGTAACTTAAATTTAAGCAGATGCTAGAAAGTACCATCCTTTGGCAATACATTTCTCATTAGGTATCAAATTGTTAAACAAGCTGATGTGATTAAATACAATTGTTTAATTTCCCAATTAAGAACTGAAATACAAATATATGCAGTGAGATACTATATGTATATATTTATAATGAAATCAATAATATATATACAGTCAAAGTAATGATTCGCAAACCATCAAATGAAATGATATGTGTATATATATATATATATATATATATATATATATAATAGATTCTGTAGTCGAATACACAGCTGAATCCTTAATGAACAGCAAGAATTTTGACGTCTTAGAGATGTTGAAACTCCAATCCACATGAATAAGAAATTTGGCAGTCGAGGTAGATTTAATTCAACTTTCTTTCAGCGAATATCTTGCACCACAAACAAGTTGGCACATTTTTATGCTATTCCAAAAATTAACATTTTTGATAATGTGTAGTAAGAAACAAGGAGCAGACAGACTGCAATCCAGCTAGGCCAAAGCGTAAAAAGCAAATACGTTATGTTAAGGGTGAAATCTTAATTCAGACCGAGTTAATTTTGGTTCTCGATGCATTTTTACTCGATTTGATAGTTAATACTGCTATAAAATTACTATTGGCTGTTTGAGTTTAGTTCCTTTTACAAATCAAATTAATGTAAGAGTCATATGACATGAATTAATCTCGAAGTGATGCAGTGCAGAAGATTACTGTTTTTAGAATAGAAAGAAAATTAATTTTATGCTGCTAATTTAATCTTTTGCTTATTCCTTATTTTTCTTACATATATGTACATATATCATTCGATGGTTGTGAATCATGACTTTGGTTATTATCTTTCTCTCCTCTTCATTTTATTTTCAAAATTATATAAAGGTAGTTTAAAATTTTGTAAGAGAATTTATACAAATATTTTTTAATATGTTTATAGATATTGACGTGCATTAAGGACAGGGGCTCGTAGGCTTCTAGATATTTAAAAAATTTTTTTTGCATTGAATTTTATTTAAAATTACTTTACATGCTTCTTTCTCAGCCATTTAGTTCTGTACATTTCAGTGCTAATTATGTACTTCTACTGGTTTATGTTTTTATGGAAATTTTGATTTACAGTTCTATTTTTTGTATATTGTTTTTTAAAAGGGATTCTGTTATGAATACCCGTGGAAATTTGGCCAATGGATTGCATATAAAGTTCTGATTTTTGGCTATGGGGTTTTTACTGGATTTTGTTCATAATGCCTACAGTTCTACAGGTTTCTACAGAGATTTTGCTACTCGTATCCAACAATTGTACAGATTTCTGGTTTACAGGTTTTGGCCTACAGTACCCGTACAGCCATGCGGTTTCTTCTATGGGTTTTTACGGGTATTTGGCCTATGGGTACCCGACAAGCGTACGGTTTCTTTTTATGGGTTTTTACGGGTATTTGGCCTACCCGTACGTACGGTTCTTTTTATGGGTTTTTACGGGTATTTGGCCACCGAACGGGTTTCTTTTATGGTTTTAAATTGGCCTACGGGTAACTGTGGCCTACCCGTGTTTCACGGGTTTCTTATTTTTTTTTACGGGATTTGGCGTACGGGTACCTGCAGAGCTGTACGGGTACCCGTAGGCCAATTCCCCGTAAAAAATTTTTATGGGTTTCTACGGGGCATTTTTAGCAGAGAATCAATTCCGCATTTAAAGGAACTACTAGTAATTTTTAAAATGTTTTTAAAAATGGTGAAAAAAATAATGAATCTTAAAATGAAATAATATAAAAGAGTTCCGGTGAGGTTGGTCCTCCATTTCTTAAACATGCACCTGATAAATACATGTATAAAACGTGTTCTTGAGATGAATATTTTGTTGTGTAGATATAAAATACTGTTATGACACTCACCTGAGTGTACACAAGAGGAACTGTCACCCAGTCATGACCCCAGAGGTGCCCCGTCTTTGTTCTCAGGTTATTCATCTCCTGTAACATCAGTTATAACACATCGTCAATATTTTCACTCTGAACTCTTTTTTTGTACAAATTAAGAGTTTGCAAAATTTGACTTAAAAAATCTGACATAAGTAATAGAAAATACTTTGCTTTACCATAAAGTATTTATTATTAATAAATATTTACATAAATGCATTTAAAAGAACTACTGTTTAAAAGTATCATAACAAAGTAAAATATTTTGCTTGATATTAAGAAATTAGATTATAGAAAGAAGGTTTTCCAGGCTTATTGAAAGCATAGCTACTGGAAAAAAGACTTCAAAGGAATAATATTATGATAGTTACCTGTAGTTTATCCATGACTACTTTTCATTTGCCATGTTCTCACTGTAACCAAGTCCTTCAGAAATTAAATTATACGCTTAACTTTTCCCTCTAGATTTTCGATCGATAACATTAATAACTATTTCCTGATAAAATTAATAACATCTTCTAATTGCAGTTTAAATTCATCACAGTTTATCAATAGATTTGTTACAGAAAAAAATTTAGTTACTCCTCTGTATTTTACAGAATTTCGATTATACATGGATTTCGATCATATAGTGAGAAACTTTCCAAACGACTTCATCGTTTTTTTAACAGAAATTTCCATGGTCGCTATTTCTGTATATCAGCAGTCAGTGTAGGCTGTCTTTCTCTAACCCGACAGACATACACTATTTACCCTATATGAATTTCTTCGCAATATTGTATTATCCAAACGTCTGGATGAGATACTGGTGTCAAAATTTAAAAATTTGAATCCCTTAGAAAAAGGTAAAAGAAATCTTCTTCAGGGCGGTTATGGATTATGAAATCTTGCCATATTCCCCTTTTTTCTTGATTTTATTGGCGGAAAATCGAAAGGGAAAAGTTAAGAAAATAATTTAATTTCCGAAGGAATCGTCAGCTCTAGCCAGAAGTCATTAACAGTTTCAAAGGACTTGGAACGACAAAAATTAAGCCAAAGAAATCGTACAAGTTACTACAAAAGCAATAGGCGGCGAAGGATTTTCAGGTATTGAAGAACTAGAAATAAAAGAATCAGTCGATGATGGCGATCACAATATGTTATGTTAATTGCCATAAGCGCAATAATGTTAATGATGTAACCCCCACGTTCGCAGCGGTTTACTTTATTATATTAAATCGTTCTGGCATAAAAGAGAGACGTCAACACCAGGGATTTAAATATTGTTTCTTAATCCTTAGTGTTAATCCTTGCTAAAGAATGTGACCTTGATTGCTTCTTTACACCAAACGAAAATTAATTATCTTTGCGAAGTGCTAAGCAAAGAAAACGAAAGAAATTTTATTTTCTGAAAATAATTTTTTCAAAAAATTAAAAAGCGAACGTTTCAGTGATTTTTCAGATTGAGAAAAAGAGATTACCAATTCTAAATTAGAACAGGGTTGAATATGATTTAACCTTGATATTTTTTCCAGAAAGTTTATAGGTATTAAACCATGCTATTAAGATAAATGGAATGCGAGAATGCTAGTGGATTTCTGTTTAAGAGAAATGTATAGATAAATCAAAAGAAAATTATCTAAAAGTTTAAATACAATTGTAATAACTTTTGTATTTGAAATAAGAGTGATTTTTGCAAGAAACCTGAAAGTCAGTTACTTGAAAAGATATATGTTAAGAAAATTTGATAAATGGATTCAAAAATCAGCTCAAAAAGTAAAAAATTATACGGGATTTTAAGGCTTTATTACAAATATATGTCAGATATCGTTACTGCGTGTTATTAATTAATTTATTAATTTCATTTTGTACCTTCCTTATAATTCATGTATCATAATGGATTGATGCGATTCGCTTGATTTCGGTTTATTTGATGATGGCGTAGCACTCGAGGGCTTTCTGCGTAAGGGGAGGAAATCCTACGTGGGAGGAAATCCTACTAAGGGAAACTGGGTCGTATACATGTTACACTTAGGGAAAACCATGGAAACGTTCATGTAGCTAGCTTGTTAGGCCGAGATTCGAACCCGCACAGACCTATCAGTGTTCCGAGACTTTACAGCTCGGCCGCTTATATGTGATTCGAGTCAACGCTTAAAAAATTTGGTGCTTTCGAAGGATCAAGCAGTTCTTAAAAACAGCCAATTATCTGTCGATATGCTACAGCTTCCCGCAGATGCGGCCTTCTGAAGATCTACAAAGTAACCCAGAAAAGAAAGCTTGCTGCCAGTCTCAAGCAAAAAAAAAAAAAAAAAAAAAAATGAGTTAGTTGTACATTACTGTTAACATTTAAGACAAAAAAATTAAATTATTTCGAATCTAGATTTATAACAAAAGTTGGAATCTCAAATCTATTTCAGCAAGTTGAAGCGTGGGCAATCTAGGCTTCAACTTGTTCGTTTTAGAATTCCAGTATTCTGTGCTAATTCATAGCAGTCTATGTCATCATATTTAAGGACCACCAGCGGCTGAGCGGTAAAGTCGCTGAACACTGGTAGTTCGGTGCGAGGTTCGAATCCCGCGAGCGGGCTGGCTGCATGGGCGTTTTCGTGGTTTCCCCATGTGTAACGTGTATACGAGCCAGTTCCCTTAGAAAGTCTTCCACGAAGGCATCCCTTCCCTTAGGCAGATAGCCCTAGTGTGCTTTGCCATAATTAAATAAACCAAACCATTATATATAAGACATTTGTAGCTCTGTTTATAATAAAATTTAGCAAATTTTCTATCAGTACTTGTTATTAAAGCATGATGCTATTCGTAAACTCTTAAGGGCCGTTCCCGCTGGGGTTTATCTGAGCCAACGGGGACAGAGGTAGCCGACCCATCTCCAAAACCAGTTTCTTTCCATCGGACAGCAAGTTGAAAATCTGAACTGCAGGCATAGCGGAGCTAGTCAACACATGGAATCGACTCCGTTAGTTCAGATAAACCCCAGTGGGAACGGCCCTTTACATGACTTGAAAAGTAGAGAGACACACAGTATTAATCCCATTTAGGAGATCCTATACTTAAGATACATAGGATTTATACCTCTGTGGGAAATAGTACATCACCAGCCAAAGAAAATTGCCTGTAAAGAGTCTTTCTCACTGGGATTTATCTGAGCTAACGGGATCTGTTGCATGTGTCGACTAGCTCCGCTATGCCTGCAGCTCATATTTTTCAACTTGCTGCATTGCGGGAAAAAACTGGTTTTGGAGATGGGTCAGCTATGTCAGTTGTCTCCGTCAGTTCAGATAATCCCCAGTGGGAATGGCCCTTAAAAGTGCATATAAAGAGCACCACTCTGCTGTGAAGGAAAATTATTTCAAGAAAAATATTTCAAATATATTTCCTGTAATAATATTGTGATTATTATTTTCCAGTCTGCTTTGATTCGATACTTAGCTACATTATCATTCAGTTCGGATATTATCAAATTGTTCTCATTCACGTATAAGACGAATAATGCTTTAAAACTATTTTAGATGTTTGAACGAAACTATGGAAGGTAAACATGATTTATCTCAGTTCATCTATTATACAAAATGAAATATTACTTCTTAAAAAAATATGAAATTGTTACCATGGTTAAAAAGTTTATAGAAAACATTTATATATTATCTCCAACTATGTTCGCCTAAGAAAACACTTTAGATAGTAAGAAGCTGAAAACTGACTGCAAGCTGTGTGTCTCAATTTTGAGTACCTTTTTGTTGGATGCCATTACTTAAGTCCAGTGACATATTTTTCGATGAAAACAACTATAATATCATCCAACAAAACGTATCGTAGCGTATGAAAGTTAGATATCATGAACACCTCAAAGAACTCTCACATCAGTTTTTACAACATGAAAATACCTTACTCTTCAGTGAGGTTACTGTTAAACCTCTTTAAAAAACCCTTTAACGGCGATTATATTAAACCCAAGAAGAAAATGGCCATATTTCGATCTGGTTTTGTGTTTCATCTATCATCAGTATATAATAGAATTCTCTTTAACAAATCTGATAATATATGGTTAAGAAATCTTATTTTTAATCATTGTACATTAGTGCTTATTTTGCTTTTACCAAATTTCTATAGGCTTGGTCTTATGCTTAGAAATATGAGTGGTTAGTCCGTGGATAAAAGGTTTATCAATTTTAAAGAAGCAAAAAGTAATCATAGACACTATTATAACAAAAGAAAAGTGAGTGCGCAATCTTATGCTTCCGAACATTTTATTTATATACGTTTAACACCAGTATAGGCTTTTTTCAAGCTCCAGCCGAAGGGCTCAGGATTGTTACAAAAATATCTAACATTACTTTTATTGCTACTTTTTTTTTTTTTTTTTTTTTTTTTACTTTTGAGTTTATATTATGTGGATAAATATCAATTCTTTTTACACGGCCATCTCATGCGCATATAATCTTAAAATTATTAAATTTCAAAGCAATTCGTTTTTTTCTAGTTTGCAAGAGAATACTGCTTACTTCTAAAATCTGTTTCACAGGTTCTCCTGGCTGTATACGACCTTCCTTTACAGCAATATTCACTAAGTTAATGAACCATATGAAAGGAATCCAGTGCTTATTTACAGTCACTTTGATGCTTTCGAACATTTGCTTTTCTTCATGCGTCATTAGACCTTCAAAATAAATTATGCGTTTGACTAAATGCCTTTGAATTAAATAAAGGAATAGCAACATTATTTTTGGCTAATTAGTGGACTATCAATTAGAATTTTTTTGTTGTTATATAACATGAATAGGAGATATTATAATTTATTAACTGAAAATAATACTAAAAAATTAGGATTCTAAAAATGAAAAAAATATTTTAAAAGTTTTTTATACTATAAGCTTTTATTTAAAATGTATATGATAATTAATGCAGGAAAACCAAAAAAATATTTTATCTGATAGGTTAATGGAAATAATAGATTCAATAATTCTATTTACAGAATTCATTTACAATTTTATATCGCGAATAATAAAAGCGTGGTCCCCAATGATAAATTAAAAAATATAATGCCTTACAGAATTGACACATATATAAGTGAACTAAATGTAAGCTTAAATGACATAAAATACCATAAATCGTACTTACCAGCTTCTATGAGGTGCGTCATGGTAGGAAATCTTTTCTTAGCGGAGCCGCTAATCGTTTGAAATAGAATAATTGTGGCCAAATTGATGTATCGTACCATAGTCCGTCTTAATATTCTGCCTCTATCGTCAGCGCCGTTAACATACATAGCTAATGTGTGCGTTATCCTATATTTAATATAATAAAATAAAAAAAGTAGTTCTAGTTAGATAAAACAATGCGCGATATTCTATTTTAAAAGATAACATTCTTAGCAGCCATAATTAACGAAATTACATAGATTTTGACTGTGTTAGTTAATTTTTAAACAAATTCTTTTCTAATTCTGCTGTGTGGGTTTAGTTGCCTGAGACGAAATGCTCGAAATGTTTTGTTCATACAAATAAGGTTAAAACTCAATAGCTTCAAATAATACTATATATTAATATACATTATTCAAAGCATCGCTTTCAATCTAGGTTTAGAAATTCCATTAGAAATGCTTCAGAAGTTTAAAGGAATAAGTGTGAATTCTATTCCGATATCAAATACGTTGTACGAGAACAATGATTGAAGACGTCATTATCGAATAAAAATAACACGTACACTCAAAATCACGCAGATGTATGACTGACTGTTCTATGGAATCAGATTAATATTTTTATGAAAATAGAAAAAGTTTTGATTTGCGTATTGATTAAAATTATGAAAGTCCTGGAAATCGAGATTAAACAGGAAGTAGTTATATCGATAATGTACTCGAGATTTACTGCTGGAATAATATCTTAAAAAAACATTCAAAAGAAAATTTACCTATAAAAGTGATCCAACGATTAAATAACCGAAAAATAAAACTGCATTGGAGAAGTTTATGGTAATATGTAGGATGTATAATGTGTATGTAAACAGTAGCAGCACTACAAATCATCCGTCAGAGACGATATGCACTATTCGTATGATCTAACCTCTCGTTTCTATCGTTAGATCAAAAGTAATGAAGAATTTTACATAATTTTAGAATTTTCTCGTAATTTTGCATGCATCGCGAGAAACTATTGCGTATGCTCGTAAATTGTTAGTGTAAAGATATATTTTTATTGGTAATTTTAGCTTAATAATTGGAGGCATGTAATTTAATTATGCATGCATAATTTGAGGACAATTATAACCATAGGCACATTTTTTTCTAAATGACACGATGAACTTCGAGGTCAATTCTATTAAACATTATTGGTAGATTATGTATTAAATTAAAATGAGCTTTTCTCATGCGAAAAGTATAGAAGAGGTGCTTTAAATGCTTTGATGTAAAGATTTCGATTGCTTACAACAATAAACTAAAATTCAAACCTACTTAAATTATAGCCGACTTCTTAACAGCCAACAGTCTAAGTAGTTCTTTGTAATTATTGCAAGCAAGTCTCACAGACAAGTTGACAGCAACACTACGCAAACTCTACTAGCCTCAAGTTTAAGACCGTACTTTTACTCTACGCCGCTTGCAATTCAACTCTTGTAAATTTCTGGTCTTACCGACTATCGTAGCAAGCCAACTAACTGTTAATAAAATTTAAAAAAAATATTTTCACAAAGTCATCTGTAAAAAATATGTGAATGCAAGAAGAGCATCTCTTATCCTCTCGCCAAACTGAGAAAAAATTTCAAGAAACACGTTTCACCATTAGCGCAACCACCGATCTAAAATTTCATTAAATATGAAGCACCATGATGAGGTTTAGGCCTCACAGATGTTCTTACAATGCATTTCATGTGCAGGTTGTTTTAATTATCATAATATATGTTTTATGTGTATTTAGCCTTATATGTGGAAGCGTATTTGTTTGCAATTTACGTGCATCTCTGTATATATTTTACTGTGCATTATTAAGAATTTCTTCTTATTTATTTTGTATTTATTTTACCATTTTGACGTTGTGCAATTATGGATTTAAATGTAGTTATTTTATTTATTTATTAGTTTGTAAAATTCCACATCAGAAACTATTTTGCTTAGGAATAATTCTAGAGGAACTAAAGATATAGCTTCTTGGAAGTTGTTGTACCAATAACACGTACACTAATATATTCAGACTAAGATATCTCATAAGAAAGAAAGATTCCAGAAATCCTTTCGCCCCATTTGAAAGGAACCTTACATTTACGAACCTTGTAACATTTGGTGTGACAGTCAGTAACCAGTTTGAGAACGCAGCTAGATTACGCCAGACCTTTCACCATCAGTTAGTAAAGAGCAATTTGTGATTTTAGTGCCAGTTCTATATTGAATTTCTCACATTTGCAACGAGAGCACATCCGCTATACACGAAGTTCAGATTTTTCAACTCGCTGTGCTATGAGAAAAAACTGGTTCTGGAGCTTCGTAGGTTATACCAGATGTCTCTGTTAGCTCAGATAAACCCTAGTGTGAACGGCCCTGCATTTTACTCGTTTCCACAAACTAATGAGCTAAGTAAAAGTGTGAACCTTCAAGAAATTTCCATACAGGTAACATGTTTTCTTTCCAATAATCTATACATTCAAGAGACTTAATGCGAATCACTGTTATCAGAATTAAAACCAAGTGACACGTTATTGTATCCAGTTCATTTCTTTAGTAACAAAAGAGCTCTAGACACAAACACTTGCATTTAATGATCTTACATACATCCTTGTCCACAAAAGTCTTAGCTCGAGCTTTATTTTCGAAACGATTGGTCACAGGCATATACTTTCAGTTACAAAAATATATGTAACGTGCATGTGAGCCAGTACTCCACGAAGGCATCCGTCTCCTTAGATAGTCCTCATATTCTTTGGTAAAATCAAAGAAACCAGACCAAACTAATTGCAAAATATTTTAAGTTATGCCAAGATTCATGTTTTCGTATTTCTAAATTAAAAAAAAAGTAATTTTGTATAAAATAGGAAATCTAACATTTTACGTTTACCGTCGGTCCATTTACTTATGTTTCAGAACGTTTTATACTCATTATAAAAAGTAAAACAGAAAAAGTTGACTTGCGTACGACAGAAAGTTACCGAGGTATTTAATTTCAAAATTTGCAATATTTGAAATCATTCTGAATTTGTGTTGAAGGGTCGGTTAATAAATAAATTAGAATAATTCGGGGTTGATTTATTCCCCATTAATTCTATTAAATGTTATATAAGGTATTTCTCCCGCCTTCTTGGTATGCCTTCGTGGTGTGGAGGTCTGCACACTGGGCGCATATTCCAGAGGTCCGCGGGTCGATTCCCGGCGAAGGTGTTGCTCATTTTTCATCACTCCTGCTTTAAAAATAACCTAATGACTCTGCAGTTCTACTTTTGTGATTCACTAATGTCTTTATTTATAATTTAGTTAACATTTGATATGCTGAATTTTGTTTTCATGTAATTTTAGTTCTTCAAAATCATAATTTGGTAATCGTAAAAAAATCATTAAAGTACGAATGTTTTTCCCTTTTAATTAATGTAAATTATACTACGAGTCGTCTTCATGCGAGTACTGAAGCATGCCAGTGTTTTTAGAACATCATTTCTATTATATTCCATGAATAAGATCTCTATTTTGAAACAAATTATATTAATCAATATTTTTCACAAGCGTCTGTATCGAAATACTCAGTACATAATCTCTTAATGTCAGAAACCATTTTCTAAACGATATTTTATTTTTATTTACGTAAATAGTGCAAACATTTCGCTGTTCACTTTTTGCAGGAGCGCAGAATATAATTCTCAATTTTAATATCAAATATCTCGGTAAATTTTTGTCATACAGTAGTTAAACATTTCGTATTTGATTTTTTATAGGAAGTATATAATTTTCCTAAACATAATACAAGGACCAGAGAAACATACAAAAAGATAACTTTTCTATTTTATATAATTTGCTCCTAGTTTAAAAATACAAAAACGTGAATCTTTGCTTCATTTAAAATATTTTTATGATTATTTTTATGCCTACGATCAACGATCACAAAATATACAGTTCGGGTAAGGACTTTTCAGAACACGATGTCGACAGCCGTTGTCAGATTCCTGGAGTTTGAGATTGAAATATGAATTTGTTTGTAGAAAAAGAAAAAAAAATCATTTGTATTATGAAATATTTATGGGAGGTTATATATTTTCATAGCCCGATATAAAAGTAGATATATAGTCAGTCGGTGTGAGAGCTATGTACATGCAAAAGTTTTGAAGAGGATTTTTATGTTATAATCTAACTAGTATCACTTTGTTAGAAATAATTACTAAAGGATAATTGTGAGGGAAAAGATTACTGAATTAAAGGATCCCGAATAAAGCTGGGTAGCGCTACTCAAATCTTATCCGATTTAAGCTCCCTTTAGATCAATGATGAACAAACTTCTTTGGAAGCGGGTCAAAAAACAAAACAAAAATAAACAATATAATTTTAAACTGAGCATATCCTTAGAATTTCCGATACACAGTCTAACACGCTGGAGATTAAAAAAAAAAAAAAAAATCTCTACAATGTTGCAATTGCTCGCTGTGAAAGCCTTGAGTTTGTTACTCAAAAAATCGTTAGAGTTTTGCAAAATATGAAATCGATAATAAAACAAATTTCAAATTTCAAATTTGGGCTCCCAGATGCCCATATACAGAGAAGGACTATGTTATTCAAAATTTGATGGCCCTAGCTACCGTTGTTTTATCACAATGCGAGAAACATACATACATTTACGCAGATTCTTCATTATTTAATTTCTTTAAATATAACACAGGGCTATAATATTTGGTGGCAACAGTTTGAAAAGTGCTACGGACATTGACAGTGAATCGACGCAAAATGCCAAAACAAAATTAATAGCTCTTCTGAGGTAACGCTTCTTTGGGCTAAAAATTAGACTGTCAGTATAGTTTATTCTAAAACTTTATTTATTCTAAAAGAGTTTTCAAATATTAATGCGATGAAATTTTGAAACTACAATTTCACTATCAAAAGTTTCTTAAATTCAGGTTCAAACTGTGATGTAATAATTCTGAGAAGGAATACTAAATGCTCATTTAGCAGTCATTTCTAATTGAATTCTTCCCAAGGTTCATGGTAGAAAAAACATATATATATGATGAATCAAACATTACACTAATTTTCTAGGCGTGAGAAATTAGGGAAACCTTCTCTCGATAGCAATTTGTAAAACATTTATTTTTGAAGAAA